CTCTCCCTGCCTCCTACAGCGGGGTTTCCCCTTCAGGCCTCCACGGCCCCCTCCCCGTACCTGAGCTCGGTGAGTTGCGGTCAAGGGTGGGAGGCGGTAACTGAGCCGCCTGGGAGTGAGGTGGGCATCTTTGGGCAGACGGGCCTCAGCAGGAGGCCGGCCCGACTCCGGGGACGTCTGTCTGGGTGTGGCCAGCAAGCGTCCATTGGAGGGGTGTGCGTCGGGCTGCCCACTTCTCTCTGGTGTAGGAATGGGGGACAGGCGTGACTGAGGAGAGCAGAGCTCAGGACACAGTCCTGCTGCTGTCCCTTCCCCTTCTGTTCTCAGGAGCCATACTCATCACCACCTCTTGTTTTTCCATTCCTCCTCCTGTTTGCGTTTCTTCCCCCCCCCCCCCCCCCCCCCCCCCATTCCCCATCCCCCCCCCCCCCCTCCTGCCTGCAGCTGGCTTCCCCCCCCTACCCCCCATTCCCTTCTGACTACCTGGCCCTGCAGCTGCCCGAGCCCAGCCCCCTGAGGCCCAAGCGGGAGAAACGGCCCCGCCTGCCCCGGAAACTCAAGGTACCCTGATCGGGGGATGTCAGGGAGGGGCCGGAATGGCAGGAGGACCGCCATCCGAGGGAGGCTCAAGACGGGCTGGGGCCTGTCGAGGAACTTCCAAGGATCGATTTGGGGCTGCCGGGCGCCCAAGCCAGGGCTAGGCACCGAGGGGTGGGTCAGAAACGTCCTGGCCCCCAGTCTCGACGTGGAGAAGAACGAGGCCAGGACCAGCCTTGGGGCACTCGGGGTGAAGACCCATGTGGTCTGTGATGCGGGGCAGCCCCAGAGCACGGGCAAAGCCATGGCAGCTGGAGTCAAGGCTGGACCAGTTAAAAGCCATGTGACCTTGAGCAGGTCTCTGTGACCCTCCAGGTCTTGTCTCCTGTCTGTCACTCAGTAACCAAACAGCGTGTAACAAACCAGTATTTCGGGAACACATGCGGCGTGCCAGGCACTGTTCTAGGTGCTGCAGAGGCGGCAGCCCCGCCGTCACGGAGACCCCGTGCTAGCAAGAGAGGTGGAAACAGACAAGATAAGTGGGCATCAGGGCCGAGAAATGGGGCCAGGTAGAGTGGGGGCAGGGGAGCTCCAGAGTAGATAGGTGCTGGTGTTTTGGGGTGCGCAGTCTGGGACGTTCCTGGGTCAGAGGCTTCAAAGAAACAAGAAATGACCACTGGCTCCCTGAACAGGTGTTTGGGGGAGAGCAGGCAGTGCAGAGGCCTCGAGGAGGGCCACCAGGAAGGAGGCCAGTGTGGTAGGAGGCAAGGGAGGGGTTGGGGGGCGCGGTGGTGAGCAGGTCAGAGAGAGAACCAAGGGGCAGGGTCGTGGAGTGCCCTCTCCGTGTCGCAGAAACTTTGCTTGTTCTGTGAAGGAAACGGGGGAACTGTCACAGAAGGTCGGGCACAGAGGAGTCCGCTCTGCCTTACGGGACTGACTGCGGTGCAGAGAATAGGGCCAGGGAGGCACCTGGTCAGAATGGAAGTGGGGGGGACCTCTGAGGAGGGCCCCACAGGGAAGCAGGTTGGGAGCATCGATTTCAAAGATGGAGCCACTGGAAGGCACGAAGCCCGGGGCAGTTCCAGGGTTTGGGGGCCCGAGCAACGGAAGGAGTGGGATGGCCGCTCTCTGAGATGCGGGGCGAGTAGCTTTGGGAGGGAAGACAGATTGGGACATGCAGTCTGGAAAGGCCAGTGAGACACCAGGAGCTTGGGGCTCGTGGGGTGCATGTTTTGAAGTGCTCATCATGGAGCCGCGTGTGACTGGGGGGAAACGCGGATGGAGCAGGGAAGAGGCCTGTGTGCTGAGCCCCGGGAGAGATGAGGGCACGGGCGGCACAGCACCCTTACAGCTCCGAGTCAAAGTGGAACTGGGACTTGACAGGGCAGCTTTCAAGTTGGGTAGACAGAAGTTGGAGGCAAATTGGGAGGTCACGTTTGTGGTGGTGAGGAGTGTGGGTTCTGGAGTTTAAATCCCAGCCCTGCCTCTTACCCTCTGTGTGACCTTGGCCCGGCACTCTCCTCGGTAGGGGTTTGTTTCTGGCCTGTAGAGCCGGGATGGTGTGGCAGGCCAGGGGCTGTGAAGCCTGGAGTGGGTGCTGGGTGGAGGTGTGGCATGAGTGTGGTGTGGCGGTGTGAGGTTTCCTGAGGAGTGGGTCCTGCATCGAGAGGACGGGGAGCGGAGTTGTGACCATCGAGGAGGGAAAAGTTTGGTTGGTTGAGAGAGGGGCCCAGATCACTTGCTGTGGTGGAGGAAAGGGTAAATCAGGGAAGGCCTCAAAGAAGAGGTAACATTTGAGCCCAGGGAAGGTGAGATTTGGAAATTTCAGGCTCAACAGGAGTGGAAGGAAGACCGGGACATGGCAGAAGTATTGTTCGGGCAGGACTGAGGAGGGAAAAGGATGGCGGGAAGAAACAGAGGGTGAGGGAGGGATTACAGAGGCCTGGGAATCCAGAGCCAGAAGGTCCTTGTAAAGGGGTGGGGGTCACTGAAATTCCAAGGGACAGCCATGAAGACGGGAGCGGGTCTATTAAGGGCCTGGGCCTCAGTCAGAGTGGGCTTGAGTCCTCCACACACTCCCCGTGTGACCTTGGGCAAGTCATTTCCCCCTTCTGAGCGTTAGCTTTCTTCTCTGTTGGGTGGGGTGGGGGTAGAATAAAGTGAGACAGGGAGACAAAGCACACAGCTCAGTGCCTGGGGCTCAACGGGAGGTGCTCCTGGTCACGCAGAAGCTGTTGATGAAGGCCAGGCAGGGTGGGTTGTAGCCAGAGAAAGGGGGCTGTCCTCATGGAGCTGGGCCTCCTGTCACTGGTCTTGGCTGACTCTCGTACCTGGAGGCACTGGCCTGCCACCACCCCAAGGACAGTAGCAGGGCTGGGGGCTCCTGGAGAGGCAGACCTGAGGCTGTGAGGGTGGAAGGTGTGAAAGTGGGCCCAGTGGCAAAGACACAAGCAAGCGCTTCCTGGGACCTGCCTCGTGGGGACCCAGCAGGCCTGTGGCTCAGAGTCTTAATTTGCAAGTCTCTGATTACTCCTCTGGCTGTGCCCTCCCCTTTGTCCCAGGGTGGTCTCTGACCTTTAGCAGCAGCCACCTGGCACCTGGCACGTAGCAGGTTCCCAGTTGGGGTCCACAGAGCTTTCTTGGGGTGTGGGGGGACTCACACCTGACAGGAGGCGGGGGCTGGAGGGCTGGGCCGGACAGAGGCCACTTCTAAGCCTCAGGGGACAAAGCAAGACTTCCGGTGACTAGAAAAGGACACTCCAGGTGGAGGGACTGGCCTGTTCTCAGGTGCACCTTCCTGCCTATCCCTCGAGTGGAGGAGTGACGCGCTCAGGTCTGTGTTTTAGAGAGCGCGCTCGGGCTGCAGTGTGGAGGAGGAGCTGGCTCTGGGAGAGGCTGAAGGCAGGGAGTCCAGTTAGGAGACTGGTACCGTAGCCCAGGTGAGCCGAGAAGAGGGCCTGGCCTAGGCCAGTGGCTGCGGGGATCCCAAGGAGGGGCCCGTCCAAGATATAAGAGGTAGAGGCCTCACCCGGCGGGCGGGGCAAAGACCCAGGACACCCTCCACCTCACCAGTGAGTCCTAAAGTAGAAGGGAGAGGAGGCCAGTGCTGCAAGTGGGGTCGGAGGCAGGCCGGCCGGCACTGCGGGCCAACTCTGACTGGCTCCCAGTGCACTCACTGGGCAGCCAAGATGCCTCCCTGGAGAGGGCAGCCTGGCCTTCCCTTCCTGGTGTCCTGTGAGACAACCCCCCCACCACCACCACCCCGCTCATCACCGCCTCCATCACCACCCCTCACCTACAGGCAGTCGCTGGGTTGAGACTCAAGGGGCTGAGGTGAGGCAGGGCCCCAACCCCGATCCCAGCATTGGCTGGCCCGGCATGAGCCTTCGCCCCCTTCCCTGTCCCCCAGGGCTGCGGGAAGAGGCCCCGCCAGCCTCCCAGAGGTCCAGTGCCTCCCTGACCAGCCCTCCCTCTGTTTCTTCCCCTGCTGCAGATGGCGGTGGGACCCCCCGACTGCCCCGTGGGAGGGCCGCTGACCTTCCCGGGCCGGGGTTCTGGGGCCGGGGTGGGGGCGGCCCTGGCCCCCTTGCCCCCCCCCCAAGATGCCCCCCCCCACGATCCTGAGCGCCGTCCCTCGGCAGATGTTCAGCGATGCGGGCAGCGGGGACGACGCCCTGGACGGGGACGATGACCTGGTGATCGACATCCCGGAGTGACCCCCTCTCTGGCCGGGCCCCCACCCTGTGCCCGAAGTCAGCACACATGAGCCCCCCGCTTCCGCAGAGACGTTTATTGGCGCCCAGTTGCCATGCCGCGGCCGCGGACACAATCAGAAGAGGTGTAAACATGCACGAATGTCTCCTCCCCCCCCCCCCCCCCCGGCCCCACAGAGAGGTGGGTCCCTGTGGGGCAGGGCAGAGGCCCTGCCCTCCCATCCCGGCCCCAGCCAGGGGACAGTTCTTTAAATGAGTGGCCACGAGCATCTGCCCACTCTGGGACAGGCAGAGAGCCCGCGGTGGTCTCCCCATTTAAAAGGGCAGCTGTACAGGGCTAGGTTGGTTGGTTTTTAACGAGGGTTCTGTATTAAAGGGGTGGCTCTTTTTTTGTGTTTTTGTTTTTGTCCTCTTTTTTTGGAGACTGTCTCCTCCTCCGAACCCCGCCGAATCCGACCTCCTCCCTGTGGGCCAAGGGGGTCGGGGCAGCCTGGAGAGGCAGGAGGGAGGCGCAACAGCCCCCTTCGGGCGCACACGGGAAGGGTGTTTGCATATTTGCGTGGGAGCGAGTCAGGCATGAGGAAGTTTGCATATGTGAACACAGACCGCCACGGTCCCTCACAAGACAGACCCACGGTCACGCAGACTCTCACGAAAATAAGACAGGTAGTGGGGGGCGGGGCGTCCACCCCGTGTAAACGTGCAACACACTCGTGCGAAGGTGGGGTTCTGGCCCCATGGGACCCGTGCCGGTGGGGGGCCATGCGCTCAGGCCGAGGCAGAGGGCAGGGCCCCAGCGGCAGGGGGCAGCTCGCTGGTCAGGGTGTGCCAGCGCTCCAGGGCTGCATCGGGCTGCTGCAGACAGTCACTCCAGTGCTTCCGGGCCTCGCCCCGGGCCCCGGGCCCCAAGGACACGCCGCCTGGGAGGCGACAGGAGGCAGGCACCCTCAGGGCTGGGCTCTCTGCCAGCCACCCCCCCTCCCCCGCACCCCACCCATCAGCCCCCACCCGGCACACTCCTCCCTCACCGATGAAGTCGTTGGACTTTCCGATGTCATAGTCCCAGACTGTGACTTCCAGGGTCTTGGTAGCCAGAGCAGAGAGCTCCATCTCGTAGAAGAAGTCCTGCGGCAGAGCAGGCCACATATTCGGGGAGGCCCCAGGCCCCTGCGCCCCACCCCCTACCCCCAATTTCTGGGCCCTGCCCCACTCACCTCATTAAATTCTGGATTGAGAGTCTTCTTCTTCACACACGTTTTGTGCTTGGATTTCTTATCCACGTCAGGCCTCAGGTACCTGCGGAGGAAGGCGGGGCCGGGGAGCAGGTTGGTCAGGGGCTGGTCGGCCCCCAGGGAGGCCGGCGCAGGGGTGAGGCTCCAGGGCGGGGCAGGCTCACGTCTTGACGTAGGGGTCCGAGTAGCCGTTGACGTCCATGGCGGCCAGGTGGGCGCAGCGCACGATGCCCACCAGCAGCCCCCGGCGCCGAGAGCTGTAGCTGAGACTCAGCAGGATGCGGCCGCGCTCTTCCAGCAGCCCGGGCCCCTGCTCGGCCTGCTCCAGCTGCGGGACAGACTCGGGGCTCAGCCTGCAGCCGCGCCGCCACCCCCCCACGCCTGCCGCGGCCCCCCCCCCCCCCCGCCGCACCTCACCTCCTTCAAGTAGCAGGAGATGCCCCTCAGAGCAGCGGACATGGAGGATGGGGAAGCCAGCTGAGGGGACCGAGAGAAGGTTCTGGAAACCTGGCCTTTCCCAGGGCCACCGCCCTCCACCCCCCCAAGACCAGCCTCCCCAGGGCCACCGCCCTCCACACCCCCAGACCAGCCCCCACACAGACCGGGACCTGCCGCTCAAGGCAGATGTTAAAATGTTTCTTCTGCGAAGGCTTGAGGCGGCGGAGGGGCACTCGGATCTCCCCTATGAATTCGTTGTGGCTCAGCTTGTCCTCGTCACAGACGGAGATCCTGGCAGGGAACTCCAGGCTCAGGGTCTGCTCGGGTCGGGCAGAAAGGCCCTCCAACCCAACTCTGAGCACCTGAAGCCAGTCCTAGCTCTGCCCCAAATTCTCCACACCTCACCCATTTCCTGGGCTGTGTGGTGAGTGCCCCGCCTGGAGCGTGATAGGGTGCTGTCATTTGCCCCGTTCCTCCGCCCCTCCCTCTCCGGCTTCCCAGGCCCGCCCTGGTCCATCGAACCCGAGCAGCTCCTTCAGAAAGCCCTCACAAATCCCGAGGGCCACCACCCTCCGCTGCCTCCGTTCAGAGCCTGGGGACGGGATCCAACTGAACATGGTGCCCAGAGCAGGCACTGGGGGTGTGGGTGACAGTGTGCAAGGGCTAGAAGCTCCTGGAGGAGCCCTGGGCGGTCGGAAGAGGATCCCACACTCTGGCCCTCCTGTCCTTGTCTGTGTGCAGCAGGGAGCCAGCCTGGGAGAGGCACATGAGCCCAGCGATCAAGAAATGATTGCTTTCAGGGGCGCCTGGGTGGCTCAGTCAGTTAAGCCTCTGCCTTTGGCTCAGGTCCTGATCCCGGGGTCCTGGGATCGAGCCAAGCACCGGGCTCCCTGCTTCTCCCTCTCCCCCTGCTAGTGTGCATGAGTGCACTTGCTCTCGCTCTCGCTTGCTCCTCTTCTCTCATAAAATCTTTAAGACATGATTGCCTTTAGTTCCATTCGTCCCCTTCTGCAGCTTCCCGTGCTCCCTTCTGTCCTGATAGTCTTGAGGAACTCTGTTACAGAGAGCTGTTCATTTCCCACCTCTGCCACCTACTAGCTGCCGTGTGACCTTGGCTAAGTCACGTAACCTCCCTGTGCCTCAATTCCCATCTATAAAACAGAACTATGAGTACCCAGCCCCTATACCTATCAGAATCAAGGGAAATGAATGTCATAGTGCATAGCCCAGGGCTGGGCCCCGGTGAGTACTCAGCTGCTCAGGCCTCCTGAAAGATGGGCCAGCCTTCCTGGGGTCTGCCTCTGTCTTCCCCCACTCCCCCTGAACCCCCAGTTGGCCTCACAGCCAGCAGGGTGAGCTCCAAAACCCAGCCTGACCACGCCCCCGGAGGCCCCCAATGCCAACCCTTCCCTCCCCCCATCCCATTTCCCCTTTGCCAAGAACACAGCTAAAGGCCTCACAAGCCTGTGCTGTGGTGCCCCTCCATCCGGTCAGGGACCACAGGCCCCACAGCTCCACCTCCTGGTACGATGGAGCAAGTTTCCGGTCCCTGAAAACTTGACTCCCTGGCACTGGCTGTTGTGGGAGGCACAGGAAACAGAATGGGCAGACCTCTGCTACATAGGTCTGACCTGTCAGGGGCTATGAGGAGGGCTCTCAGCAACCAGGGAAGGCTTCCAGGAGGAGGCACAGCGGGGAGCACTCTCCAGGGAAGAGACACAACAGGCCAAGGTCAGGAGTCTTGAACCTGACCAGTCTGCAGTGAGTGGCCAGTCTTCTCTTGGAGCAGCAGTAGGAGGAGAAGCTTGGGAGGGCAGGAGTGCCAGGGAAACATTTTGCCTGCTGCCGAAGAAGGGGAATGGGGGGCCAGTGCCTGCTCCAGGGCATGTGAGAGCGCCTTAATGGGAGGCAGATCGACCAAAGGAGGTGGCAATGACAGCCCCCGGAGGAGGCGCCGAACTGGGATCCTGGGTAGCAGGGACAACGGAGCCCTCACCTGAGCACCTTGTGGGTGATGTCCTGGTCTGTGATCCCACTGTACGTCAGATCCTCATTCCACACGGGATTCAGCGTGTTCCTCTGAGTCTTTGTTTTGAGCTTATTGGCCTGAGGTGTGGAGATGAAGGTTCTCAGGACACGTCCCCCAGACCCACAGAGGCTGAAGGCAGGGGCAGGCTGGGGACAGATCCACCAGCCAGGTCAGGCTGAGGGACAGAAGAGGCCGTTACCTTGCAGGCCCCAGGCAGCAGGTGCAGCTTGACATAGGGGTCGGCCAGACCATTGAAATCCATGGGCTTGAGGCCCTGCAGGGGAGGGGAGGAGAGGGAAGAGGGCTGCAAGCTGTCTGCCTCCTTCCCTCCCTCCCTCTGCAGAGTGGATCCTTGGGGTGCGGAGAGTCAAGAAGAAGGGTGCTGGGGGACAGGGGCCAGGAGGAGGAAGAGGGGGCCCAGCCTGGGGACCTGGAAACGGACTGGGGAAGCCGGGATACCTACCTTGGCTCTAAGGATGCTACAGTGGAGGGTGCAGGAGGCCTGGTCATAGAGAAGGTCAAACTCCAGCATGCCCAGCGCGGCTGCAGAAGCGGGAAGACTAGCGTGAGTCAGTGTGTAAAGACAGGTGTGTGTGCGTGAGACCAGTGGGCAGGCCGGCTGCTGTGCGGCTGGGGAAGGTGTCTGTCGGCCTGTGAGTGTGTGTGTGCGCGCGCACACGAGTGTCTGGGTCCCTGGCTGGGCCGCAAGGGGCTGTGTGGGTGGTTGAGTGTCTCAGCAGAAATATTGAATATTGAGCCTTTCTGAAACTGTCATCTCCACACTGCCTGCAGCTGCGGAGGCAGAGCCTGCCTCCCCCAACACGCCCAGCCGGGTCCCAGCGTCCCCCAACCCCCCGGGTCCTGCCAGCCCCCAGACTCACTGGTATCATCCGAGTCGTAGCTGTCCACCTCGGCTCCATCCTCGGGCGTGGTGGCCCCAAGAAGGGCTGCAGGCGGGGCCAGAGCCAGAGGTGCAAGGCGGGCAGGGGCCTCCCTGAAATCCCTACCCCCGCCTTCGGGTCCTGGTTCCAGGCGGGGGAAGTAGTCTGAGATCTGCCTGATGGGCCGGATGGGCCCGGGGCACACGTTGATGGCCATGTGCTCCTGGATGTTGATGGTCATGCGGTCGCCTCTGCGGGCCCTCATGCAGCAAGCACCCTGGGCTGCGGGGCAGGAGGATCCAGAGAGCGTGAGCCCCAGGGGGACTCCTCCTCCCTACCTGCTGGCAGCTGGCTGAGGGCCAGATGGTGACCTCCCCAGGTGGTGGGGCCCTCCCTGGCTTCCCTTCCCAAGTGTGTCGGGAAAGGAGGGAGAGGGCAGTCTGGGCCAGTGGGTGGGCCCGCAGGAGGCCTGGGGGGGCTCCAGACCCCCAGCTGTGCTGCACCAGGACTGGGTCCCCAGCCCACTCCCCAGATGGGTCCTGGACCCCACCGTTGGCCATGTCCACATACCTTTGGACAGTCCCGATGCCATCTTTGCAGCCCCTGCCCCTCATCCTGGGACACCTTCTGCCCCTGGGCCCTGCCAATCTCTGAAGCAGCCCCGCAGGCCCCCTCCTCTGCCAGTCTTAGGCTCTGTCCACCCCTCTGCACCAGGAGCCTGTCTGGTCCGCGTGTCACCCACTCCTCCAGGCTTCTACGGCCCACTGGCCCTTCATTCAGCCCCAGGATCTGTCTGCCTACCCGCCTGCCTGCCGGGTTCCCCCCCACCCTGTAGCCCCCCACCTCGGGGGAACCCCTGCCTCGGATGCCTCCTCTTGAGACCGGCTCTCCAAGAGGCGCCAGAAATTGCAGCCTCCAGGGACCTAAACACCCCGTGGGCTCACAGGCTACCGCACACGCCCTCCCTCCCCCTCACACCCCCGGCGGCCCAGCCCTCTGCACCTGTGTCTGCGTTTGTGTCTGCCTCCAACAGGTGCCCAGGCACTGGGGGGACGGCAGGTGCAGGCTGGGCGGTGGCGGCCGGCGACTCCCGCGGCGGCCAGCGAGAAGAGCGCGGAGTCCGGCACGGAGAGCCGAAGAGGGAGGGAGGGAGAGCAGGAGAAAGTGCGGGAGGAGGGGGTGAGCGAGGTGGAGGCGAGGAAGCAGCCGGCGCAGGCGGCGGGGGGCGGGGAGGGGCGGCCCGAGGCTGGGGAGGGGGCGGGACTCTCCCGCCAGCGCCCGGCGGGCACAGTCCGGGCGGCACGCGAGGGCACACACACCCACCCACCCACCCACCCACAGGCACTCCCGCGCACACGCCTGCGCCCACGTGCGCACGCTCGCACACATGCACTAACCCAACCGGGAGAACTTCGCAGGCACACACTGGCAGACACCCGGGCTCCCTGCGCCACCGGGAATCAGCGGCCAGAATTGCCCGGTGTTCCCCAACTCCCCGGAGACCCCGGGCCCCCGCCCCTGCCCCCGCACCGAGCCCGCGGCGCCTCCCTCCTCCGCGGTCCTCTCGCTTCCCTCCCGGGCCTGCCGGGCAGGACCACCCGCCTGGTTGCCATGGCGATGCCGCTCCTCCCCCCCACCCTCCTCCTCCCCCCCCACCCTCCTCCTCCCCCACCCCCCGCACATCCTCACGCCCCTCCCCCACGGAGAGGGCGCGGGGGAGGGAGTAGGTTGTCGGGCCTTCCCCTCCCCCTTTCCTTAGGGGCGGGGCTTAGAGATCCGCAGTGATCCCGGGGTGGGCAGGCGGCGGGGATCGGATCCTCCCGGGCACGCCGGGATTTGGGGGTCTCCAATCCCTGCTGGGAAACCTCACAGTCAGAGGGAGGGGACAGGTCCGAGGCTGCGGCTTCCCCCACGCCTCTTCTCTGTAGCTGTTCAGGCGTCTCTCCTGTGGTCCAACCCAGACCCCAAGGGCCCAGGTCCCCTCCTCAGGAATGGCACGACCCTTGGGAATCCACCCTCCCTCACCCCACCCCCTGCCATCTCCAATTCTGTTCATCAGGTGGGGAGGGGCGTCGGACTTCTTTCTGAATGCCCCGGAGCCCTGCAGTTAGGTCCCTCACCCGTCTGCCCTTTCCTACCTGAACCCCGCCATGCGCCTGTTAAACTCCAGCCTGGGATCCTTGCTCTTCTTTGTCCCAAACTCTCTGTCCCCCCAAGACAGAGTCCTCACAGTGGCCTTCTCCGATCCGATAATGGGCTGTCTGGCAGGAATTTTCGTTGTAGTTCCTAGAACACACCTGGATCCCCCGAGGCCTCTGGACCTTAGCTCCCTGGACCTCCCAGGCCTGGAAGAGCTTCCCTTCCTTCCGGGGGTCATCCTGGGTCACCTCTTCCTAGAAGCCTTCCTGGAGCATCCCCACACCATCCCCTAGTTTCCAATGTGCTCCCTTAGGCTCAGTTCTCCCGCCTGTTTACACTTCTGTGTCCCCCACCACGAGGGAGTGCCTTGGAGGCTTCCCTAGCCCTAAATTGGCATCCTGAAGTTTTGTGACTTAAAAGTAAGAGAAGTGTGGTTCCACAATAATGTGAATGCACTTAACACCACGGAACTGCATGCTTGCAAGTGGTTAAGAGAGAAATATGTGTATTTTTTAAAAATAAATGATTTTTTTTTAAAAAGCGAGAGAAATGTAAAGTCAAACCACGCTGAGATAGCACTCATCACCGACCAGATGACAAAACTCAAAGCATCTGTTAACACACAATGCACACAATGCTGTGGGGAAATGGGCACCACCTCTGCGGAGGCCCTTCTGACGGTAGATACCAAGATGGCAAATACACAGACTCTTTGACCAGAAATTCTACTTGTAGGATTTTATCCTACAGATATGCTGGCCCATGAGCAAAATAATCGAAGTTCAGGATTCTTAAAGGCAGCACGTTTGCAATGACAAAAGACTGGAAACAACTTAAATGTCCACAAGTTGGGGGATCGGTTCAATCAGTTCTGACCCAGTTTCATACGTTGAAAGAGAGAGAGGCCCTCATACTTGTAGGCACACTTGTATATAGAGTCGTCTTCCTGATCTCAGCTTAATCTAAAAAAGTAAGGCGCGGAACTGTATGAATGGAAGGGGGAGAAAAGAGTTCATACGTGTTTGGTTTTTTTGTGGGCTTAACTTATCCCTGGAAGGCTGCCCAAAAAAGTGGTAACCAAGCTCCAAGGAGATTGCTGGGGGGTAGGGTAGGGCAGGAATAGGAAAGACTTATATTCTATGCTTTTGTACATTTTGAATTTTGTACCGTTTGCCTCTGTTCCCCATTCAAAAGAATACTTTAAAATAATATCTATTTAAAGGCAATCATCAGGTTTCCTTTGGGGCTATCCAGATGAGAGGGGAGGCAGGACCAAGGGAGACCTCCCCCAAGTCCAGGACCAGAGCTGGTGGGTTTGCCAAGAGGCGGACTTGGGCCTGCGGGAGTCAGGGGAGAAACCTGGCCAAGAAATCCTGCCTCATAGGCTGCTGCCTGCTCGTGGCTTAGCTCAGGTCCAGCAGCACGCTTCCAGAAAGCCTTGGTTGTGGCAAGGTGAGCATGAAGGGGGACTTCAAGCCAGTTACCGGGCAAAGAGCAGACAGTGCTTAGCCCCAGCTTGTCCACAGGTGGAGAGTTTTTCATCCATCCATTCAGCCAATAAGCATTTATTGGACTCCTACTGTATACTTTGGTGCAAGTCTATGACCAAGAGCAGTGATCTTCACAGGCTTGTAGGGGGAAACAAGACAAAGACACAGACAACTCCAAAGCAGTGAGATGGACAGGGCATGATCCGAAGGCCATGGGAGTTCCCTTCCTGTGCAAAGTGTGGGCTCAGCTGAGACTCAGAAGATAGGAGAAGCTGGCCCGGTCACGGGTGGTGGCAAGCGTGTCCTAGGCACAGGTGTGTGCAAAGCCTGGAGCGTGCTGAGCGAGGGGAGTCGTGCAAGAGCTGAAGTGGGTGGGTGGAGGGGGCTGGGCAAGAGTCTTGCAGGTCAGGGCAAGAAGTTCATAACACAAGGGCACGCAGGAAGCCGTCGGAGGGTTTTAAGTAGGGGATCCGAGTGTTCTGGTTTGTTCTCCCCAAAGGAGGAGTGAACGGAGAGAAGTCCACCAGTCCACAGGCTGTCGAAAATACTAGGGGAGGCATGGGGTTGACTGGAAAGAGTGGGCAGCAATGGAGGACGAGAGAGGTGGATGGATTTGAGGTTTATGTTGGAACTGAGCCACCAGGGCTTGATGATTGCTCTGTCAGCGGCGGGGGGGGGGGGGGCATTTAAGGTGACTCCTGGCTCAAGGAACGGGGAGACCCATTTGCGGCAATGGGAAGCAGGAGCCCAGTTTGGGATAGGAGAACCGAGAGGCCCATGTGCGATCTCTTGAGTTGGAGATGGTTTTGGACATAGAGAGACACGAAGCAGGAAGTTGGATAGAGGAGTCTGGAGCTCAGAGGGGAGGACTAGGCTGGAAATATACATTTGTGAGTCACCAGCATATAGAAGGTATTTAAAGCCATGAGACTGAATGAGATCACCTAGGGGGAGAGAATATAGACAGAAAAGAGAAGGTCCAAGGCTGAGCTGGCTGGAGGAGGAAGAACCCTGAAAATGGGCGAGCATGGCTCTCACACTGAGAGGCAAGGGCATGGTTCTGTTGTGAGACGAAACGGTTGGAATGAGAAAAAGTAACCATCAGTTTTGGCAAGTTAAGAGGTCATTGTTAGACTTGGCAAAAGTGCCTTCAGTGGAGTGGTGAGGACAGAGCCAGGTCGGAAGGGGTTGAAGAACAGAAGCGGAGACAGCAAGTGTAGACAGCCCCTGAGGGGTCATCTGTCTATACCCGAACGATGTGCACCCAAGAGTTCTTTCCCCTGTGATCCCTGAGGGCAGAGACCAAGCCCTGGTGATTTCTATCTAGGCCACAAATGGAGCCCAGCAAAGAGCAGGAACTCAATACATTTACTTCACTGTCAGTGTCAAAAAGGCCTTTTCTGGTGGAGGGCAGCTGCTCTCTTTTGGGGTGGGTGAGAAGACTCCAGGATCTACTCCCATGACTTAAGTCTCTGGAGCCCTTCTCCTGGCTAAACGGGGGCCATGACTTTGGGTAAGTCACTTCCTCTTTCTTAGAAGAGAGCAGTGTAGGGGAAGGAGGCCCACAGGACATCCCGTAGATGTTAGATGTTAGTCTGTGTCTCCTTTCCCCCCATTTTCTCCTCCCTGAGCTTTATTGTTTAGGAAATAGAAGCTGAGCAGAGCAAGGACCCACCTGACTGCGGGCTATTGTGAGAACACAGAGGGTAGCCCGAGGGCAAAAAAAGAGGAGGCGTGGGGATCCGCCTCCATCACAGGACGGAAGACACCACCACCCCCAACACGCCACAGACACGTGCCTGGTTTGGGGGAAGTCACAGAACCGGACTGGCAGAGACTGTCCAACAGGCATCTGTGTAGTCAAACCAAGAAGACCCTGAAGTGTCCTTGGGCTTGGGTGGGGCGGGACACATCGGTGACGGACAGGCCCACCTGCCAATCAGAGGAGACCTAACTCTTTGAGGCTGAGAGGGCCC